AAATGTCATTGAATTTACTATCCAAATCAATAGCCCAAGAAATGCTGAATTGATTGTACTATTCAGGGCACGCTGAATGCAATGCAAGTCTCTCGTCTTGACTCGACCTGACGCTGCTGCAGAACTACCAATGAGTCAGGGTGCCTGCCAGAATCAGGGCTGGTGGAGCAAGGCAGAGAGGAGGGCATGCCAAGGTGTGCTGCTGAATTTAGGCTCAACTTGCCAGTGAGAGCAAGGGGGGCCTTTATCACAGGCACACAAGGAAAATTAATAATCTCACCATTGCTGGAAAAAAACCTGTTAATAAATATAAGGTTGGACGGGTGTTCCCTCGTAAAAGCTTTTACAATCTGGTTTGCTGTTCCTCCTTTGCTGGGGGGGGGGAAGAGGGCACAATCTGCCCCAGCTCTATGCCTGGCACAGCTTGCTTCGCCGAGCATGTTGATATAACTGCACTGGCCAGTGGCCACCATAGTGTCTGTGATTGGGGAGTGGGACAGGGGCTTCACACACAATGCAGGTGTCAAGTGTAGGGGTGTTTGGGGGCAGGCCTTACACCCCCTCCCTCCCCTGCATGGACCGCAACCTGGCCCTAACACAGGAACTGTTGTTCAAAGTCCTTACAACTGTTGTTCAAGTAATTGATCAACAGGTGTCTAGAGAAAGATTTGCCCATAAAGTTGCATAACCCCCCCATTCCATGGGGCAGGCATGATGCCTGGCTCTCTTCAGTTCCCAAAGTCTCTTTCACGTGTTTGGCATAAAATGAAAAACTAGGCCCTTCACTCATCCACTTTACATCAAGGAGCCATTTGTCTGGTTACAATGTGCATCGGAAACAGCGATTTCACAATTAGGAGTGGTGTTTTGTGTCTTTGAAGCTGGGCCCTTGGCTATTTATCTGATCAATGGAAACACCTCAGAGCCTTATAAATGATGTAATTACATTTTGGTGCTTTAAGCTCTGGCTTGTTGTCATTCATAAACAGTCAGCCCATAGTCTAGCTTCATTACATTTGTCTCCGAGTTTTTAATTGCTCTTTTATTGTTTGCCCTGGTGCCTGCCTTTGACAGGAACACCAGTCAGTAACAGCTTAAGAGCAGGAATAGTGGGCTTTTGATTGAAAAATACCATTGGAGTTGTGTGATTGACATTATCGCTTTCAGGTTTCCTGTAAAAGGAAATAGGAGTTTAATTTCTGACTGGCAAGGTTTATTGCTGTCTGACGATTCAGGACAGGGGACTAGCAGAGGGTTAATATGGAAAAGGCTGTAACTGGAGGTTGATCACCCTAAGACTTTTTTTGTAATTGTAGAGCCACAGGTCTGAACGCACAGTGAGGTAGGTTTTGCAAGTCTGTATCCACAGTGATGTTAGCTAATTGCAGTCAGCCTCCACATCACAGCATCTCTGTACATTTCAAGATGGTTTTTTAAAGTGGTTTACTAGTGCAATTTTATGGGTCTGTAATTTCAGTTCACTGCACCATCGCAAAACTAATGAAAGAGCGTGTTTGATGCAAATTTTATTTAACATCTTTCAGTATGTGTGCTGCATCTCTGAAGTGGAAAGACCCAGTTTTGCTGAAAACATCACTCGCTTACCCCACCCCCATTCCCAATCTAGAAGAAATCTTAGGAAGCTGTGTTTATAGCCTTGACATAGCCAGGTGACAAGACAATGCATGTGAAATCTGTTACAAGCTGGAAAAGCAGGATGAAGGCTGAGCTCAGCTCGCTTCACAGCTGAGGGATGATAAGCGTGAAACCCAAGTCACAGATCCCAGCTAAGCCGAGCATGAACAGTTAATGTAGCTCAGGCAAGGGAGAAACTTGTCAAGTTGTGCATCAGTACCACCTTCTGGCCAACCAAGTCCTAACACAGGCAAAGTTGCCAAAGCAGTATATTTAGCCTTGTCCATGTTATTCCCCCAGCTTCAAGGTGGCATTAATTTTAAGATGGGACAAAATGTGGGGCTTAGAGGGAGGCCATGGGGATGGCTACAAGCTCAGTACCTAAGAAGGAACTCAGCACTTGTCCAGCCACTCCAGAAGCTGGGAGGCAATTAATTTGCTTTAATTAGGCTACAACTTTAGTCACCTAAAATATCTGAAAGTACCCAGCAATAAGTTGTACAGTGCACCTCATCTTCATTCCTTAATCATTGCCACATTATCCCCAACCTTGTCCAAGCCAGTCCCTTGCTGGGCCCCTATGACCCTCCGTTGGATGAAGGGTTATAAAAGGAATATTTTCCCTCACCACCACGTTGGCCAAGGCCAGGTGGGGTTTGGATTTTTTGGGTTTTTTTTGCCTTCCCCTCCACAGCTCTGGGACCCAATGGACTGGGATGGGGGGTTAGGTTATAACTTATAATGTTGCAATTTAGTACTTAAAACTGGTAGTGGATGGCAAACACCCCCTCCTCAGCTCCCTTAAGGAATGCTGGCTTTCAAATCTTTTTCCAACCATTTTTATCCAATATCTGGATCCCTGCCATAACAAGTACCTGCACTGGCCAGTCACCACTAGTTTTAACCTTCTAAATTGCAAAATTATAACCTCAATCACTACCCCAGCCTGCTGTGGAGAAGGTTAAACAAAACCCAACAATCTGTTCCTTTCCCCTTCCCCACTCCACCTAAAAGAAAACAACCAACCAAAAAACAAAACAAAACCCCACAACCCTCAGGTTGGCCAATCTGGTGGTGAGAGAAAAGGTCCTTCTCAGCTCCCAAAGAAAAGGACAACTAGAGTAATGCCCATAGTGGATCCTGAGGAAACCTGCTCCTTTTGGTGATTTCATGAGTGGACGGGTGCTGCCCACCCAAGTCTGATCACATGGGGCTTTTCAGGGCTGCACTAGGTATAAATAGACCCCCCAACACACACTCACTCTCTCTCTCTCTCTCCCTTCTGGGCAGCAGGAAGCGCAGAGTCTCCCTGACCTGTGCTTCCCTTCTTCCCTGCTCAATCTTTGTAAACTTCCCCCATTTCCCCTTTACTAGCTATGGCAGTGGGGGAGGGACCCCTTAAAGTAGGGGAGGGCCCCCTTTTCCTCTGCCAAACTGGACAAAGCCTCGCCGGCTGGATATTAGTGAACTCATCTGCACATGTAGTCACACTTCTTCACTGCTTAGGGAAGATAACAGTGAAACCCACATAGAAAGTGGACTTCCAAATAAAACCAATTTTTTTTTTTAAATTTCATAGCACAGACATCCTTCAGCACAGCTACTTTCCTCCAAATAGTCATGAAGTGACAGATTAGTGAACCCTCCAATAAAAGTGGAATATTCAGAGCTAACAGACACAATCCTCTAGTGTTACAAAATGGTGTTGCTTTGTTACACAGCACATTGCGATGTTAAGAGGCTTACTTTGAACTTTCACTATCTTAGCTGACTCAGATGGAACAGGTCCCTGGTGCAGTTATTGTTTGGGAAACTAATTTGAAAAACATCTGCTGAAGTAGAGTAAAATTTGGTTTCACTCTAGTTATCTGTACCTGTTATAAACCAGGCATTATGGACACAGTATGCAAACAAGGCATTCATTTATTGATTATTGTTCAGCAATAGTGCTACTCAGTTCAAGTCTCAGAGTGGAGCCATCATCTCAAGAAGGGGAATGGTGCTGACCAGAATGCTAGGTTTATCCCTTAGGGGCTTTAGAAGGCGGTATGAGGCTCTTCACCCTTCACAAGTCACAGAATGGATTTTGGACAGTACAGAATACCACCTCAATACTGAACCTGGCCTAAGGGTATGTTTAGGACTGGTGAAAAGTGCTAGGTCACCAGCCCTGAAGAATGACATCTTATTTAGCCACAGAATTGGTTCAGTACAGGAGACAGCAGTACAACCCTTGCCACATCAAGAGCGTGAGCAGGGTTCTGCAGGGACTACATCTGGGGATGAGTACAGTTCACACTTCATGCCAATTCCGTCCTCTAGCTCTCTGCTTACACTGCCAATCTAGGTGCCAATTGCAAGGTGGACACCTGTTGACGTAGACCATCAACTGCCAGAAGAAAATGACTATTGACTTGGGTCAGATTTGAGAGTAATGAGAAGTGAAAATTCCCAGTCTCATCAGAAACTGTTCGGTATCACAATCCCCTAGATCACATAGGACTCTTGATAGAATCGCTTTGTTTTATAAGCAGCACACAGTTGAATGCATCAAAACACACTGGTACTAGTGCTCATAAAACTGAAAAGATTACATGTTTCAAAGAAGGCTTCACTGAAAAGGGTTATGATATTTTTCTTTAAAACTTTCCACTTATTTTATGATATGTTTTCAGTGTCCTCAGTTCATATTACAGACCATTTTTTCAGCTCTCTGAATAGATCTGTTTTGTGTTGATCAAATAACTTCAGATATTTAGGAGTAATTAATGGCACCCAGTCACTGTGCTTATTGTGTCAAGTGATTTTATTTCTGTCGATAAATGCATTGCTTTCAGTCCAATTGTAGAGGATACACAGGGTCTTTTTTAAAGAATAGTCTGCCCATAAATTCAAACATACATTCCTCTGAATATTTTATAATAAAAAGTATATTGATACATAGCCAGGAGTGGCTGTCATGACTACTGTCATTACTTGGAAATGTAGCTTTTTCCAAGATTTGCATTTATTCTGCAAAATTTTTATAATTAAGATGTTTTTAGAAGTAGCTCCAGTTACCACTGTTTAGATTTGACAAGACTTCTGTCTCTCTAGCTTTTTCAGCTGCATTCATCCAAGGTGGACTGATTTTGTTGGGATGATTTAAATCACCCCTTTTAGTAATGATAGATATCAGGAAGCAGAAAACTTTGCTTAAAATCAATGGTTTTGTACTTTTCAGTTATTTTGCTAAAGAAAGATTGATTCTCATTGCTTGGCAACCATAACATGTTGATTAGCAACGAAATACAGACTTTACACTAAATTTGGTGCTTTACTGCCTCCAGAGTTTGCTGAAGTGCAAAACCAGCTTTTGACAGCAGTAGCCTCTTTTGCAGGTACAGAGAGAATATTTTCTTCATTTCAGTTTATTCAGCTAATTCAGTTCAGTCACTATTACACAGGTTCCCAATTTGTGGGATGCTCCCCTCGGGCGGGGGGGTCACAAAGGAACTTTCCGGGGGAGCACAGCTGGGGCCTGTGCCAACCCCAACAGAGGGAGGGTGGGGGAGTGCCACCCAGCTGCTGGCCCTGCGAGCGGGGTCTCGGCTGCTGGCCATGGCTGCCGGCCCCACACCCGGGGCTCCGCTCCTGGCCACAGCTGCTGGCCCCATACCCGGGACCCCAGCTGCTGGCTCCACACCCAGGACCCCAGCTGCTGGCCTTGGCCCTTGGCCAAGGCTCCACTCCCGCCCCTGCCCTTGGCCCCCTTACACTTGTCTGTGTGCCCCTCCCGAAACCATGGCCCCACTCCTGGGGGTGGGGACAGGGGTACTGGGGGGGGGGCGCAAGGTAAAAAGTTTGGGAACCAGTGCACTATTATTAGTTGAATAAATTGAAATGAATAAAATATTCTCTCTGTACTTGCAAAAGAGGCTACTGCTGTCAAAAGCTGGTTTAGCACTTCAGCAAACTCTGGACCCAGACGCTTGGCCAGTGACTTTCACCAGTTCAGTGACTTTGACTTTCTTTACAATCTGACAGCAAATATGTTTAATATTTTTTATTTAATTTAAACAATTTTAATAATTATAAGTTTACACATTAATATAGGTGGTCATAAATTCAAATTGTAAATAGATTTTTTAAATAAATATGAATTTAAAGAAAAATCCAATTACAATTTTTAAAAATCCATTTTTAAAATTATGTTTTAAATCATTGATTTTAACACACACTGCATGACTCACAGTGGTACCTAAAAGACTTTCTATAGAAATACTCAAGGGAAACACTTTTGTAAAGTATATAACATTTCAAATAAGTTAATTGTGTTCAAGCCACAGATGACTGCACCAGGAAGGTTAACTGGAGAACACACTAGTAAGCCCTTCAGAAAATAAGGAACGGTTTCCTATCTTTTGTAATTGTTGTTCTTCAAGATGTGTTGCTCATGTCCATTCCATTGCAGGGCACGCGCTCACGTGCACGGTCATCGGAGACTTTTGTGTTAGTGGTACCCATAGGGCTGGCTGTGGCGGTCCGCTCATGCCACAGTATATCAGGCACCACCGGCCCTACACCCTCTTAGTTCCTTCTTGCCTACAACTCCGACAGAGGGGCAGGAGGGCAGGTAATGGAATGGACATGAGCAACGGTGGGTAACTATTTTTCTTCTTCGAGTGCTTGCTCATGTCGATTCCATTCTAGGTGACTCACAAGCAGTGTCCTTGGAGGTGGGCTCAGAGTTCACAGTCTTGCAGACTGGAGCACAGCTCTGCTGAAACCAGCGTCATCTTGGGCTTGCTGGATCAGCGCATAATGTGAAGCGAATGTGTGGACGGACCACCAGGTCGCAGCCCGACAAATTTCTTGGATCAGTACCTGAGTGTGGAAGGCTGCTGAGCACACCTGTGCCCTCGTTGAATGAGCCGTCACGATCACCAGCGGGGGCACCTTCGCCAGCTCATAACAGTAGCGGATGCAGGCACTGATCCATGATGATATTGTCTGGGTAGATACTGGGCAACCCTTCAGTCTGTCTGGGACAGCAACAAACAACTGCCTTGACTTATGGAACAGCTTCATTCTATCTGTGTAGAAGGCCAGTGCCCGCCTGACATCCAGGGTATGCAGCCTGCATTCCTCATCCAATGCATGAAGCTTAGGGCAGAGGACTGGTAAATATGTCTCTCAACCAGTATGGAACTGGGAGTCAATCTTGGGCAGAAAGGCTAGGTGCGGATGCAGCTGGACCTTGTCCTTATAGAAGATTGTATAAGGCGGTTCTGATGTGAACACCCTGAACACCTCCGGGCCGAAGTTATAGCAAATAGGAAAGAGACCTTTCATGAGAGAAGCAGAAGGAAGCAGGAAGCCAAAGGCTCGAAGGGGGGACCCATGCGCCTTGATAGCACCAGGTTCAGATCCCATGGGAGAACCGGCTCCTAGACATGCGGGTAAAGGCGCTCCAGGCCCTTCAGCAACCATGCCATCATGGGATGGGAGAAGACCGACCTGCCTTAAAACAGAGGCACACGCACACGTACAATGGAGTGGACATGAGCAAGCACTTGAAGAACATTTAAGTTTTTATGCTCACTAGTTTTAAAAGATACACATGAACACAAAACAGTTATTTACTAATTTCAGAAAGTAAATTCCTCTTCATATTCAATATGATAAAGTCATTACTACTATATAAATACATCACAGCTAGCTGATAACTCATGCAGATGTGACTTCTGCTCAGTTTCATTATTCCCATTTAAGTATCTTTCTGGCAACGTTTAAAAAAATTACACTTAGCACAACTAAAGACCACAATGTATAAAGAATATATACCCTAGTTTGTTCTTTCCTGTAGCATTTTGTGTCTGTATGGCCTACTGTCATCAATCCTTGGTTTTGTTTTCATGGTCTACTGTTTAAAACATGTTAACTAGTTGAGGTAAATCTTAGTCGGGAGTCTAGGGTTTAGCTTGACCAGCTAATGTGTGTTAGGGCTACAATCTGCCTTGACTACATTAGGATTTTAGTGCATATTAATGAACATGTTAAACACCCCTTTTTCCCTAGGTTGATGTTACACTGGGGGAACAAAGCAGAAATTGGCTTGGCTGCCAATTCAAAGTCATTTTTCTCCAAGTGTCAGTGTTTGCGAAAGGGGCTCTACCAACGAGAAACAGCAGTGTGAGCATCCCTGTATCACCTTAAGAAGGTGCTTCAACCCTGGTGTGCAGAGACCACGTCTAAGAAAAGTCAGATCTCTGTCCATGCAGCTCTGGGCTTCTCTACTGAATATAATATAAAGAAATCAAATCAAGATGAGTCCGAAAAATAATTAGCATACGATGCTTCGGTAATTCAAAAATGTTTTGATTTCAGATTTTTTTCTGGGCCTGATCCAATCTCAGTGGAGCCAGATGAAGTCTACTGCCTTCAGAAGAGATTTGGACCAGGCATTTTGGCAGGTATTTTCCCTCACCATTGCTCAAAGATTTTCCCCATCACAGTGCACTCTCGTGATGCAATCCCTTGGCAACGAATAGGAGGCTTTCATTGCTAGTCTTAACGCACATTTTTGGAAAAGTGCCTCACACATTTTATGAGCAGCAGAGTGGAGCAGCTCACAGCATCTATTCAGTACATTTTAAAAAATTGTTCTTTATATCAGAATTACTCCACTTCGCTGTTGGCCGGAATTCCCCTCTCCCCGCCCCCAGCAATGGTACACTTCTTTGGGCGCTCCTTACACCCCGCACTGCAGGAAGTGGTTTGTGATGCTCAGATGAAATAACACTATAGAAGAGCAAAATATTAACCTGAGGTCAGAATGCATGTGAATGCACATTTGTAACTGACTTGGAAGAATACATTTTTTGAGATATGCAGGAAATGATAACAAAGGCATACAAAAATTCTATCTGAATAGTATTACGGTTGTAGAAGAGCCCAAAAAGAGACAATGTTCCTTATCTATGAGTTTTTAATGTTCACATAACCCTAGTAGTTAGGAGCATATTATCCAAAGCTGTTCATATGTAGAAATAACTTGTAGTGGGGAAAAGGATTTTTTTTTTAAAGAGATGGTGTCCCCTAGATCAGGGGTTCTAAACCTTTTTCTCTCTGAGGCCCCCCTCGACATACTATAAAAACTCCAGGGCCCAGGAGAGGTGGGGGGCATCTTGGGAATAGGAGTAGTTTGACTTGTATTTGGGGGGGCAGGGGTCAGCAGGGCTCAAGCTACCTCCACACGGTGAGGTCCAGGGAGGGAGGGAGTTTATATATTTAAATTATAACTCAAAGGTGGGGGGGCATAGCTCAAAAAAGTTTGAAAGCAGCTTAGGGTGGAGGGAGCGGGTAGCTAGGGGCTGTGCGCAGGGGGTAGCTGGGGCTGTGTGCACAGGTGCCGACTCAGTAGTTTTTTCCCATAATTTTCTCAGTAATTTTTCCCATAGGGAAAAATTAGTGGGTGCTCTGCCCCCACCAGCAGCCAAGCTCCCCTTATACCCCTCCCTGAGTGCACCGCGTCCCCGCTCCTCCCCCTACCTCCCAGCGTTTCCCACCTGGCCGCTGCCAAACAGCTGTTTGGCAGCATTGGCATGCTCCGGGAGGGAAGGAGAGGAGCGGGAACGTGGCATGCTCAGGGGAGGAAGAGGGGCCGGGGTGGGAATTTGGGGATGGAGTTGGAATATTGCCAGGGAGGGGGAGGGGGCGGAGACTTTGGGGAAGGGGCTGGAATGGAGGCGGGGCAGGGGCCTCATGGAAGGGGTTGAGTGGGGAGAGAGCCGGGGGCAGACGGGAAGCGAGCGAGCACCCACAGGAAAGCGGGGAAGTTGGTGCCTATGCTGTGTGCACACGGGGTGGGGGTGAGTTCAGGGAGGGGGGTGGCTAGGGGCTGTGTGTGGGCAAGGGGTAGCTCAGGGTGCAGGAAGAGGGGTACTAAGAGCTGTGTGTGGGCAGGGGGTAGCTCAGGGTCTAGGGAGAGGGGTATTAGGGGTGTGTGCTGGGAGGACTCCCCTGTGGTCCCTGTTCCAGGAGGGGTCTGCCAGCCATGGAGCCGGGTCTCCCCCCCGGGGGGCTCTTTACCGGCTGCCTCTGCAGGAGCAAAGGGGGATGGGAGCCGATGAGCATCTTCAACCTGGGGTACGAGCAGGAGAGGAAGGAACGCTGTGGCTGCCTGCTCCATGGCACCAGCCAAAGCAGCTGCTGCCCTGCACTGCCCAGCTCTGGCTTCCAACCTCCAACCTGGCCAGGGGGTGGGGAGAGGAGATGAGGGGGGACTCAGGGGAGGTGTGGAGCTGCCTCTGGGACTGCCTTGATCTTGTGCTGCAGTTGGGGGGAGGGAGGGGGCAATGCCCTCCACATCCCCAACTCTGCCCACCATGGGCTCAGGGTTTCTGCTCCACAGGGAGCACCAGGGCTTAGGGATTCAGCCCCGTGGGGGGTTTCAGGTATCAGGGCTTCAGCCCTGAGCCTCCCCCCGCTTCAGCACAGCAGGGGGCACTGGGGATCGGGGCTTCAGCTGTGGGGCCCCACGGCCCCCTTGAAAGGGCAAGGGGTCCATCGATCCCCAGTTGAGAACCACTGCCTCTTAGATCCTCTTGGAGGGGACTCTTCGCCTGGATCTCATTCCATCTTACAGAGGAAGATTCATTAATGGGACCCTTTGAAAGGCTTCAGTAGGATTTGGTTCCACATTTGTGGAGGGGAGTGATCAAGCAGGGGCAGGCCAGCTGGGCTTGGAATGGGGAAGGATGCACATTAGTTCTCCTGCAGCAAAGCACTTAAGTAGATGCCACACTTCATGTATTGACTCTGAATGTATTCAAAGTCAATGGGGCTGCAAATGCTTTTGCCGAACCAGGGTCACTATCTCTACATCAACCTCCAGGATTACCAGAAAAGGGAACAGCCTGAGGTTTTATGTGCTGTAGCTTGTTCATTTCCCACATGTCCTCTGTACTTTGGGGTATTCTCTCTTTCTAGGGAATTGATATTAACCTAAAAAAAGAAAAAAAAACCTAACCAAGAAAAGTAATATCCTCTGAATACATTCAACCCACTTTGGTTTCAGAATAATTCTAAAGACACACACAGTCCTAAAGTTCTGCTCAGTGTGCTAGATGCTTAAACCCCACACTCACTAACTTCTACAATCTCATCTTGGGTAATGCACAATTAATTTATGAAAGATTGATCTAAGTTATCTGGACATTGCCAACAAATAGCTTGTTCTCTAATCAACTTGGATTTTAAAGTTTAAATATACAAGTAAAAGGGTGTACATAGTTGTTACAGCCCCATCTCGCTCAAGACAGAGCTGTTCAGTGAAGCAAAAACTTCAGAAGAGTATCCAGAACATTCAGCAAAATGAAAGGACACAAACAAAGTGAAGCATTCATAGTTTCAGCTCATCAGAGGCAACGTACAAAGCTATTCTACGAGGATCGCATCAACATTTTCTGGAGCAAGATCAGACTCCGATGCACATGATGAATCTAGGTGATCTTGAGAGAGCCTGGCACTTTTTACTGGACAGTCAGACCAACTGTCACAATAAGGATGAAACCTGTGGGCTACTGGGTTACCAAACCTTTGGCCTCGGTTATATTTGTATTGTTTCCCTTTGTGGGCGTACATGTGTTCCAGCAACTGGCTCTTTCGGAGAAATTTGTGGCCACAGACTGTGCAACTGATTTTTCTCTTTCTTGAAAAAGAAAAGTTGCAGTTTAACTCCACAGGCTCAGTGTCTTTGGAGACTAGCGACCACTGGCCATACTGTAAGGGCTCTGTGTTACTATGGTTTGGATGTTCTGATGGATGCTCCTTCTCTTTCCTTAGGAAGGTACCAAGCCGATGACTTTCAATAGCTTCCCCCTTTTCAGTAATAGGCTGCACTTCACCAAGGTCATTGCTCTCCAGGATGGAGGCTGGGACGCCAAAGGGAAGTGAGCCGGAGACATGAGTATGCAAGTGTTCCCGCAAATTCCCACGGGAATCAAAGCGCTCCCCACAGTAATGACATAAATGCATTTTGAGATTAGTTCTAGAAACATCTGGAGCGGGCGACACGTGACTTTGGGACACCACTGGCTCGGGGTCACATTTCTCCTGCTTTATAGACACAGATGATTTCTGAAGCTCCTCTACTGGTTTGGCAACCCCAGTTGCTTGGGTGGAAGGATGGGTGATCTGTTGTTCGAGGGTACCATCATCTAGTCCAATGGCAAGTGAGAGCTGTAACTGTGGGTGATCGCCCGGGTTAGCAGACCTGTTGCTGGCATTTGTCAGATTTTCTTTTGCTCCAAGACCTTCCTTTGTTGCTTTGTGTGCAGTTGAAATCTGAATTCCATATAAGTTTGAAGACTGCATCGTCTCTGGGGAAAGTATCTGGTTCATTTTAATTGCAATATGGGAAAGGTAGTCTGCATGGAGAAATCGAATGCCCTCCTCCAGCCGGCTGGGGTTGACAGTCTGCTTTGGACCTTTTCCAGTGTACATGATGTGCAACAAGTAACTGAATATGTCTGGTTGGATATCTGTAGGCTGAATCTTTATGCAGTCACTGTTTAAAACAGAACACATGATTAAATATATCTGTTTCTCCAAATTATAATCCTGGCCATTATTTAAGCATTCATGTGGCCCTTCATTTACTTTGAGAGAACACACGTTGGCTACCTTTCCCAGATTCAGAATAAATATGACACATGCACAAAGAAAAGGACATGGGCATAATTTACATGTGCAATTATAGTGACTGCGTGCATAACTGCATCAATTGTGCACGAACGTGACCAGTTAGCCATCCACTCAGTCATTTGTATATGCAGTGTAACTTTGCATGCCACTGCAGTAATTGTTTGAAATTATGAATTCACTTATTGTGTGCGATTCTGAAAATCTGGGCCTAAGACTATTGCTATATATTTAAATAAATAATAAATTCATTATTAAATTCAATAATTAAATAATAAATTCAACAGGGTGGACTGATTTAAATCAAAGTGATTTAAACCATCAATCTTAATCATGATTTAAATTAGCAAGGATGAAACTTTGATGTAAATCATCAATTTTAAATGTGTTTTGCATCTGTACTTTTTAGCTATTTTCCTAAAGAAAGATTGATTCTCGCTGCTTGGCAACCATTAAAACATGTTGATTTGCAACTAAATATAGCCTTTATACTAAGTGTCATTATTCTTTTTGATAACCAGGAGGATACACTATATCTATACACATTTATTTAAGCAATTAGATAGATTAACTTGCATTTATTCTGATTCTTATTACATTTATGATGTTAGAAAATGGTGAATGACCCATTTCTTATTTACTAGATGATTACTTGTGATTTGTGTCAAGCTCTATTTGGATGGATATTCAAATTCAATTAAAAATGCACATAAAGAGCATTTTAAAAATTTAATTAAATAAAACTACTTTAAATGTACTGGATATGTAAGAAAAAAGTGCATTAAAATTAGCAAAACATTTTATATTAAAAACTAGCTAATTTATTAAAGAAAGGAAGAGATTTCTGTAGTTAGTGACTTGAACGGATTGTTTCTGGTCACCATGTCCTTCAAATTTCAGAACAAGTAGATCTCATCCTTAAACACCTAGTTTGTATTCATAGTTTAGTAAATGAAGACTGTTTTCCTGTTTTTCTTAACTTTGAATGAACTAGTCATTGAACTGACCAAGTTGAATAAACTGAAATGAAGAAAATATTCTCTCTGCACCTGCAGAAGAGGCTTCTGCTGTCAAAAGCTAGTTTAGCCCTTCAGCAAACTCTGGATCTAGATGCTTAGAGAGTGACTTCCACCAATTCAGTGGTTTGACCTTAAAACATGGCAGCAAATATATACTGTTTAGTATTTTTGTGCTGCATTTAATTGGCTTTAATAGATTATAATACGTTAAGCATTAAAATAGGTTGTCATAATTTCAAAACTAATTTTAAATAGGTTTATTTTAAAATAAACCTGCATTTAGTTTAAATAAAAAAAAATTTTGTTTAAAAATCATTGATTTTTATCCACTCTGCATTACAATAGGCATATATTTTATCAGCTTTATGTCCCAATGTCAATAAATGGTATTGATTATAACAAACACTCAGCACTAATCTCTCACTCCCAGCCATCAAAGCACTTTCCAAATTTTAATCAAAGAGTCTTCAACATCGCTGAAGGAGTAGTCGCAGATAGGAAAGTGAGCACACAGACAGACACCTCATCTGTAGATAGCAACTCCATGTCAGAGGCAGGATTAGAACTCAGGAGTTATCCCATGTAATTACAAAATCTGACACCTTCAAAACCACTTTTTACCCAACTGGGGTGCAGCATCTGAATGTCACCAGGTGACTGATACTCAGTGCTCTAGGACACTTGAAATGAATTGATGGTCTCAGCGCAGTTTGTTATCTGTAAGTGTCTGCAGCACAATATGGCACTGTTACCCTTGCTAGTAGTTGCAACAGCAAGGCCATGAACTGAATGAGTTTGGAAGCTGAACTACACCGGTCTTGCCAGAGTCATTTGGTGACAGAGCGTGGGGGGAAGCTTGTCCAGCTACCAGATATCCTCTGTGTATTCTGTAGACAAATACTGTACAAAGTTAGTTCCCAAGCCTTACAGGTCAACAGGAAACACAAACTCTGAACTCAATTTTATTTTTAAAACTTCAATGTTGGTCCAAATGGTAAGCCAAAGTATTGTATTTATTTCTATGTACACACAACTTCAGTGAAAAATTCTAGGCATTTGCCGCTTAAGAAAGCTGTGATACTTCTTCAACTTTTGTTTCTCCGTTCATCCCTCTTTAAATGTGCAGCAATGCCAGATGTTGGACCTGAACTTTGGCTTATGCTGATTAAACAAGTAAGATTAAAAGGACTTTCTGACACTACATTCTAGGCTGGAAATGAACTGGTTTTAGAGGGTTACAACTCCATAATTATTTTATGTAACCAATCCAGAGTCATTTAATCCCTCACTAATGTTCCTTCAGAATTTAATTCCTTTTAAAGAACAAATTTTAAAAGTTGCCTTAAATGCAGAAAAAGAGGTACGTTCTTACCTTGTCTGGTGAATAAATATCATCTTAAAGTAGTTCGAAAACGCAGCTAGCACTGCTCTGTGGGCCTTGAAGTAAACATCTCCTATTGCAACGGTGCAGTCACACAGAAAACCAAACTCACGCTGCATGTTCAACTGCTGCAGGAGGACTAAACTGTGGCTAGCTGTATCCATGGTGTTTCTAAAGGCAAAAGAGGACAAAATTTGAGTTCTTGGTGAAGTGAAGATAATTGTAGTAGTATCAAAGACCAGTTTATTTCACTGAAGAAGTGATAAAGGCGCATAGTGTGGAGGTCATACAAAAGCTAACAGGGCTGTCTGATAGTGCAGTATGTTAACATCTGCCAGGTGGTATGTATACCACAATTTAGTAACTTCTCCCACTGATATCATTAGGAATGCCCCAAACACAGTCTATTGAAATTGAAAAATGATTCTCTATTTGCCTTTGTGCTGGGTAGAAACTCCAGATTTTTTTGTTAAAAAGAACCTGCTTCATCTAAACAGTCGGAAGTTACCAAACCTTAACATCAAATGGACTCCGCTTTTTCTCTGGCCTGACTTCTCACCTTTCCCCCAGAACTGAAACTACTCTAGAATAAGAAAGCCATTTATCCAAGTCAGTGACCTCTGTTCACTGAAGGTCTAATGCTGCATTCATTACCTGTGGAACCAAAACTCCGACGAAGAGTATGTCTACACTACAGTGTAAGCCTGGGCTCAGACTCAGGTTTAAGCACAAACACCTGTCTGTCCACACACAAATCTGTCTGACTCCAGGCCAGTAAACCCTCAGTACTCAGGCCCTAGGACCTGACTGTGGGGCAGGGTCCAAACGAGAGTCCCACTGTGAGTCGGGTCCAAACTTTATCATTTTTCAGCATGGACACAGCTCCGAGCCAGGTCTCCAGACCTGTGCCCTGAGAGTCTGAAAAACAGTACCCCACAATCCCATGGGCGAATGTTTCTTGCCTTTCTATCCCAAGATTAGCCAATCAACTCCCAGGAAACAGAAGCAAACCCCCCTTCTCCCTTTCATGTACAGCTGCGCAGTGTTTAGCCCTTCCATTTCATTCCGAACTGAACAGAGTTAACTCTCCTCTCCCTGAATTAGTTATGACCAGTGAGAAGAAGTCATCCTTTGCTAAGCACTATGGTCATGGGACCATAGTCAGATTCCAGTAAATCTCTCGTTTGAGACAAACAAGACATTTGACTTCAGTAAGAGTACCAGAAATGACCATGCGTACCAAGAAATACTGGGTAAGTCAGCAGCGTTGGGGATTCAATGGACCGATGCCGAGGGAAGGATCTCATGGCTCAAGACAGACTATTGGAAAGCCAGGGATGAGAACTGCACTTCTGGGAACTTCCCGTCATCCTGCCTCTTTTAGGAAGAATTTGACCAGATGCTGGTTTCTAAATCTCACACTGCACTGAGCCCACAGCGGTTCACAATAGCCTGATGAATGGGGATGGCGACCTTCTAACCCCCCGAATCTAAAGGCTTGTCTACATTTTAAATGCTGCAGCGGCACGGCTGCAGCTGTATCACTTCAGTGAAGATGCTGTCTACACCCACAGAAGGGGTTCTCCTGTTGGAACAGGAAATCCACCTCCCCGAGGGGGTAACTAGGTTGACAGGAGAATTCTCCTGCTAACCTTGCGCTGTCTACAATGGGGGCTAAGTCAGTTTAACTGCCTCACTTTGGGGTGTGGATTTTTCACACCCCTGAGCGAGGTAGTTATACCAACCTAATTTCCTAGTGTAGACCAGGCCTAAAATAGTATGGGAGGAGAGCCATTAGCTGCCGGATCAGGCTCATGATGTGACTCTGATGCTCATGCCAGTCCCCACGGAAGCTTTGCTGCCAGAGCAGCCATAACATGGCCTGGGTCCATACTCAGAGGAATTGTTTGATATTGCCTCGGGGAAGCAGCCTGCAGCAGAAATAGTAGCAGAAACAGAAGTAGCGACCCAATATGGAAAAGTCAAAACTAAGAGCTTGGATCAGACACCCAGAATACATAGTGTCTACAATTAAATCTAAGAATATTAAATATCTTTAAAATCTATGCAATGAAAAGGTAAATAAGCAACCGAAGTTAGAAAAATTCATCATATAATGCTTTAATCAAATCCACTGTAAACATCAGTAAGTGCCTAACTGATTTAGAAGCACAAAAGCCTTTGACTTTCCGTGTCTCACGACACGCTCAATGACAGTGTCATTCAGACTGTCTTGTATCCCCTGAAAAATAAGTCATACAAAAATTGCACTATATGTTCCTAAAGCATTCTTGAGCTACACAAGCACAGAGTATTACCTGATACACACAACGTGCACTACATGAGAAATTTAACTCAAGCACACAAGTGGAGAGAGAGAGAAGGAGAAGCACACAACTTCCGAGGGATCAACATTTTGATCCTAGTTTAACAAGCTCAGAAAAGACGACAAATGTTTAATACACCCCTTTCCTCTCTTGAGAGTTAGTAGATACAGAAGTATCTGTAAAATGTGTTTGGTTTTGATCACTGAAAATTAAAGCAACCCCCCTCCCCACACACATTTTTATAAATTCTAATAGGATCAACTCAGCACTCCACCCTTCCAAGACAGGAGAAATGTGTTTCATGAATGTTACTGTCTGGTGATCTTTCATGTGTAATAGTGGGAGTCAGTGGCAGGGTTCATGCCCTACCCTCTTATTGGCTTTCAAAACTAGGGTCCTGTCTACTCTCCACCGACTTTATCTCATCTCTCCATCACCACTGCGTGCTGCATTGGCGGATGCCGTCCCATGTCGGGTAGTATCTGTTGTTCAGCAATGCTGTGCATGTTCATAGGACACACAACGGCTCCCACCAATATCAGTGCTGAAACTCCCACTGATTTCAACAGGAGCAGGATTAGGCTAATCACTTGTAAAGCGATTTCACATCCTTCAGAATAAGAGGGACAACAGAGAAATAAAATCTTACAAAATCAAATAAGAATCCAAGTAACAAAGAACTCATCACTCTGAGTCTTATTTTCATACAAAATAAAGGTGGCCACACGTCCTCACCCCACATCCCGTCCCATAAGGCGCAGTAGATACAACGCTCACTATTTTGGGACCTGTGGAAATCTGTTTGTAAACCCATTGGAGGTAGCAAGGATAGGAGTAACTATCAAATTCACTGTGATCACAGCCATAGGGGACACTATTCAGGGGACACCATCACAGGGCCTAATAACATCAGCCACACTATCAGAGGCTCGTTCACCTGCACATCTACCAATGTGATATATGCCATCATGTGCCAGCAATGCCCCTCTGCCATGTACATTGGTCAAACTGGACAGTCTCTATGTAAAAGAATAAATGGACACAAATCAGATGTTAAGAATTATAACATTCATAAACCAGTCGGAGAACACTTCAATCTCTCTGGTCACGCAATCACAGACATGAAGGTTGCGATCTTAAAACAAAAAAACTTCAAATCCAGACTCCAGCGAGAAACTGCTGAATTGGAATTCATTTGCAAATTGGATACTATTAATTTAGGCTTAAATAGAGACTGGGAGTGGCTAAGTCATTATGCAAGGTAGCCTATTTCCTCTTGTTTTTTCCTACCCCCCCCCCCCCCCAGATGTTCTGGTTTAACTTGGATTTAAACTTGGAGAGTGGTCAGTTTGGATGAGCTATTACCAGCAGGAGAGTGAGTTTGTGTGTGTATGGGGGTGGGGGGGGATGTGAGAAAACCTGGATTTGTGCTGGAAATGGCCCACCTTGATTATCATGCACATTGTAGGGAGAATGGTCACTTTGGATGAGCTATTACCAGCAGGATAGTGAGTTTGTGTGTGTGGTTTTTGGGAGGGGGGTGAGGGGGTGAGAGAACCTGGATTTGTGCAGGAAATGGCCCAACTTGATTATCATGCACATTGTGTAAAGAGTTGTCACTTTGGATGGGCTATCACCAGCAGGAGAGTGAATTTGTGTGGGGGGGTGGAGGGTGAGAAAACCTGGATTTGTGCTGGAAATGGCCCAACCTGATGATCACTTTAGATAAGCTATTACCAGCAGGACAGTGGGGTGGGAGGAGGTATTGTTTCATATTCTCTGTGTATATATAAAGTCTGCTGCAGTTTCCACGGTATGCATCCGATGAAGTGAGCTGTACCTCACGAAAGCTCATGCTCAAATAAATTGGCTACTCTCTAAGGTGCCACAAGTCCTCCTTTTCTTTTTGCGAATTAAAAACAGACTAACACGGCTGTTACTCTGAAACCAGCCATAGGAAAGTGCTGGGGGAGGAGAGAACAAACAGGACCTGGCCCCGCTACTTTAACTATCCTGCTGAGTCTGACGGTCCCTTTGACACGACCGGAGACGCTATTATGTGTCTACACTACAGTGAGCGCCAGGACAATAGGGCCCTGGGCCATGCCTCGGGATTCTGCACCTTACACCAATACACATTATTAATAATAAATAACAGCAACACTGCACTGCCAGATCTAGTTCCTCCCTGCCTCGTTTTTCACGCGTCTGCACATCTCGGCAGCCGGAGGCACAACCTCACACGCACGCAGCCAGTTGCGGGTCGATGTCAGACCGCAGCAGCAATCCCGCTGGTGTATTACGTTGCTGCGGCTCACAAGCGGCCAGGGCCATGGGTCACACCGCCTGCAGTGCGGTTCATGGGTCATATCGTTTCTCCCGCCCATTCCCGACTCCCGCACGAGCCACCGCATTGCGAAGCCCCAGCGCTAAGCTCAGAGGCATCTGGCAGGAACGCGGGCAGCCCCGGCGGCGCCCAGCCGCCCCTGGGGGACGCGCCCGGCAGGCGGCAGCCAGCCTCTCGGGATGCTGCCGCAGCTGCACCGCGGAGGCCAGGAGGGGCTGCCCCCCGACCTATCCAGGAGCACCGGGCGGGAGGCTGCCCCGGGGACGCTGCGGAGCAGCGCCCATGTCCGGGCGATGCAGCCCGAGCGGCAAGGAGGAGCCGGGCAGGGGCCAGCCACAGCAGCGGGATTGCTGCGGAGCAGCGAGGCCGGGCCCCGGGGAGGCGCTGCAGGGACGCAGGCCGGCACCGGGCAGCCCCTGCGGCGCGGGCGGGGCTCGCGGCTTACCGGTGGGAGGCTCCAGCTTGCGCAGCTGTCGGCCCGGGTCGGCGGCCGCGGCTCGCGCATGCACCGGGCCCTGGCGCGCCTCTCAGCTCGGCCGCGCAGGGTGCATCCCCCCCGCCCCCCGGGAGCCGAGGCTGCTGCCGCTGCAGCGTCCCCGTGCGGCTGGACGGGCCCCTCTGCAGCGCGCCCCCCCGCCCCCGGAACAAAGACGGCTCAGGCTGGGCTGTGGGCCCTGCCCCCCCTGCGCGCAGCGGTGCTCTTTCTGCACCGACCCCCTGGCGCACAGCGAACAGGGGCTGGCTCGTGGGGGGCTCCCCCGTGCCTCAAGCGCTCGTGCGGCGGGGCGGTAATGGGCAGCTGGCCCCCTATACTGCGGGGCGGGGACAGTGCAATGGCTGGGCATGAGCCGCACCCACAGGGAGCCAAATCTGCCGAGGCCTGGGGGGAATGCAGGCCCTGCCTCCCCGGGGGTGGGGGTGTGTGTGTCCCGGAGCAGCGAGCGCTGAGCTGCTCCCTGGGGTGGGCCTAGGCCCTTGCAGGGGTGCTGCTCCCTGCTGCACAGACACCCGGGCGTTTCCTTGCTCTGCTGGTCTTTGTAAGGAGTAAAAAACCTGTTACAGGAACATTTAGAGTCTGGGGGCATCACGTGCCTAGGCCTTGGTCTGACGCTGCCCAGCCCAGGGCTGTATCTTAATCCCCTCGGGGAGCCAGACAGAGCCCAGCACGGCGAACGTATGCAGAGCACTTCCACAACGTAGTGTGAGCAAGCAGGGGCTGATTATCCTATGCAGAGACCAGGCTGTCTGACCCTATCTTATCAGGATCCTGAAGTTGCGTGCTCACTCCTTTCCCCACCATGGCAAGAGCTCCATCCCCCAACATTAATCACCAAAGCCACATGCCCTGGGCGTTGTGTCCTCATGTCCTCCTTCCATATCATTATTTCCTATTCTCCCTTCCTCCATTCCCCCCCATGCTAGGAACAATTGTGTGCCCCTCGTTCCCATCGTCCCTACCATGCAGGGGCTCGTTGTATCCCCCATGCCCTCTTTGATATATAGACAATTACAAAGGTGGTTGAAGCTGCTAGGTGTGTGTGATGTTCCCCGGTGTTATCTGGACCCGTGATCTGCTAGGTCACGCCTTGACTCTGGAGCCAGCCTTACCCTGCTCTGCTGTGAGAACCCCCACTCCTGGGCTTTTCACACACAGCCTCTGGCATGTAAACTGCTCCTTGGGTTGTGCAACCCAATGACACGAGCCAATCTCTCCAGTCCCAGACAGGACCCTAGGAACCTCCGTCTTGCAGTTTCTAGTTCTGCCCACTGGACGCTGCAAGCTTATATGAGTTCGTCAATTTAACAAAGAAATTGATATATACCAGGCTTGTTATCCCAAGGGGAAACTCTGACATCCTTCAAACCAAACACACTGCTTCAGGTAGAACAAACAAACAAATTTATTAACTACTCATACACTTTACAGGATTCTAAATTCACTGTATCAACTCAAGAAAGGTGTCACTGTAGACAGGTCAATGAACATCTCTGCTCGGCATGTAGCTGCAGTCAAAACAAACAAAATATTAAGTTCCATAATGAATGGGATGGTGAACAATATGGAGAATATTACTACTTTGTATAAATCAGTGGTGCAGCCTCATCTGGAATATCGTGTGCAAAACTCATCATCCCATCTGAAATATGAGAGTGCAGAACTAGAGGAAGTCAGAGAAGGGCAGCAAGAATGATCAAGGGCCTGGAAAAAAGACTGAAGAAAGTTTTAAAAGTTTTACATGAAGAAAGATTTAAAAATTTGAGATTGTTCAGCGTAGAGATGAATAGAATCATAGAATATAAGGGTTGGAAGGGACCCCAGAAGGTCATCTAGTCCAACCCCCTGCTCGAAGCAGGACCAATTCCCAGTTAAATCATCCCAGCCAGGGCTTTGTCAAGCCTGACCTTAAAAACCTCTAAGGAAGGAGATTCTACCACCTCCCTAGGTAACGCATTCCAGTGTTTCACCACCCTCTTAGTGAAAAAGTTTTTCCTAATATCCAATCTAAACCTCCCCCACTGCAGCTTGAGACCATTACTCCTCGTTCTGTCATCTGCTACCATTGAGAACAGTCTAGAGCCATCCTCTTTGGAACCCCCTTTCAGGTAGTTGAAAGCAGCTATCAAATCCCCCCTCATTCTTCTCTTCTGCAGGCTAAACAATCCCAGCTCCCTCAGCCTCTCCTCATAACTCATGTGTTCCAGACCCCTAATCATTTTTGTTGCCCTTCGCTGGACTCTCTCCAATTTATCCACATCCTTCTTGAAGTGTGGGGCCCAAAACTGGACACAGTACTCCAGATGAGGCCTCACCAATGTCAAATAGAGGGGAACGATCACGTCCCTCGATCTGCTCGCTATGCCCCTACTTATACATCCCAAAATGCCATTGGCCTTCTTGGCAACAAGGGCACACTGCTGACTCATATCCAGCTTCTCGTCCACTGTCACCCCTAGGTCCTTTTCCGCAGAACTGCTGCCTCGCCATTCGGTCCCTAGTCTGTAGCTGTGCATTGGGTTCTTCCGTCCTAAGTGCAGGACCCTGCACTTATCCTTATTGAACCTCATCAGATTTCTTTTGGCCCAATCCTCCAATTTGTCTAGGTCCTTCTGTATCCTATCCCTCCCCTCCAGCGTATCTACCACTCCTCCCAGTTTAGTATCATCCGCAAATTTGCTGAGAGTGCAATCCACACCATCCTCCAGATCATTTATGAAGATATTGAACAAAACCGGCCCCAGGACCGACCCTTGGGGCACTCCACTTGATACCGGCTGCCAACTAGACATGGAGCCATTGATAACTACCCGTTAAGCCCGACAATCTAGCCAGCTTTCTACCCACCTTATAGTGCATTCTTCCAGCCCATACTTCCTTAACTTGCTGACAAGAATACTGTGGGAGACCGTGTCAAAAGCTTTGCTAAAGTCAAGAAACAATACATCCACTGCTTTCCCTTGAATAAGAGGAGACGTGATAAAAGTATATAAAATAATGCCCGGCATAGAGAACGGTAGATCAGGAACTTCTGTTCTCTCTGTCTCATAACACAAGAACAAGTGGAAATTAAATTAAATTATGAGATGGAAATTCAAAACCAATAAAAGGAAATACTTTTTCACACAATGCTTAATTAAACTGAAGAACTCATTGCCAGAGGAAATAATTGAGGCCAACATTCAAAAGGTGATTGGACATTTATATGGATATCAAGAGTAGAAGGATATAAACCTCATATTTCAGGCCTTGAACCAACCTCTACGTATTAGAGATCAAATTGAGTCCTAGTGTATGGGGCATGTTAACCCATATCTGCCTATTATGGGGATCTTACCCCCAAAGGCCACCGTCAGAGACAGCGTACTGGGCTAGATGGACCACAAGTTTGTTCCAGCATGGCAATTCTTGTGTTACTACATGGCTGATTTTGGCATCTCAATGGGTAGAGCTTGGGACAGTAACACTCCCTCCCTCCCCCCGAATCGAAAATTGGGAATGTACATCTAGCACAAAGAGACAGGAAGAACAATGTTCTAGTAGAGGATTAAGCTTCAGTTCTTGGGAAGGGATGGCGTATGGTATGAGCCTCCAGCATAAGTGATAAAACAGGGTGTGGGATAGGAGGGAAGAAGCCTCCACCACAGGGGGTGAGGAGCAGGGTGGGAATGAGCGTCAAGTGTCGGAGGGGTGGGGAAAGAGTAAGGGGGATGAGCTTCCAGAAAGGGGTAGGGTGGAATGGGGAAATGAGACTCCTACATAGAGTAGATGGGAGAGTGAGCCCCCTGGAAAGGGAAAGTGGGGGGGAAACTCTTGGGTGAGGGCAAGAAAAACCTCCAACACCACGAGCTAGGATGAATGCAGGTGAGACGATGGAAAGAGGGAGATTGATCATCCAGCATACGAGATTGTGGACTGGGGGGGATGAGCCTCTAGCAGAGGGGGGATGGAATTTGTGTGGGGAGGAGAGCATCCAGTGCAGGAGGGATGGAGTGAGATTTGGAAGTGGGGATGAGCACAGAGCACAAGAGGGTGGGGTGGGATTTTGGGAGGAGCCTCCAGTGTAGTGGTGAGCAGAGTGGAATTGGGAGGGAGGGAGCCTCACATGCAGGTAGGATAGGGTGGGATTTGGGGAGCGGGTAACCCTCCCTACCACGCAGGCAGGACAGGGTGGATGTGGGAGGGGGATGACACTCCGGTGCGGGCAGGACAGAGTGGATGGGGGTGGTGGTGTGACCGTCCCATGCAGCCAGGGCGGATCTGGGGATGAACCCCCCGCGGGCAGAGCAGGGAGGATTAGGGAGAGGGATGGGGGTGCCCCCCCCAGTGCGGGCAGGACAGGGTGGATCTGGGAAGGAGATGGGGGTGACCCCCCCGGTGCGGGCAGAGCAGGGTGGATCTGGGAGAGAAATGGGGGTGCCCCCCCGTGAGGGCAGGGCGGTTCTGGGAGAGGGATGGGGGTGCCCCCCCGTGAGGGCAGGGCAGGGTGGATCGGGGAGAGGGATGGGGGTGACCCCCCCGTGAGGGCAGGGTGGATCGGGGAGAGAGATGGGGGTGACCCCCCCTGTGAGGGTAGGGCAGAACGGGGAGGGGGATGGCGGTCCCCCCGTGAGGACAGAGTGGATCTGAGGGGAGATGGGGGTGACCCCCCGTGCAGGCAGGGCAGGGCGGTTTGGGAAGAGAGATAAGGGTGACCCCCCCCCCCGTGCGGGCAGGACAGGGCGGATCGGGGAGAGGGATGGGAGTGAGCCCCCGTGAGGGCAGGGCAGATCGGGGAGAGGGATGGGGGTGCCCCCCCGTGAGGGCAGGGCAGGGCGGATCGGGGAGAGGGATCTGGGTGACCCCCCCGTGCGGGCAGGGCAGGGTGAATCGGGGAGAGGGATCTGGGTGACCCCCCCCATGTGGGCAGAGCAGGGTGGATCTGGGAGAGAGATGGGGGTGCCCCCCCCGTGCGGGCAGGGCACGGTGGATCGGGGAGAGGGATGGGGGTCCCCCCCGTGAGGGCAGGGCGGTTCTGGGAGAGGGATGGGGGTGCCCCCCCGTGAGGGCAGGGCAGGGTGGATCGGGGAGAGGGATGGGGGTGACCCCCCCGTGAGGGCAGGGTGGATCGGGGAGAGAGATGGGGGTGACCCCCCCTGTGAGGGTAGGGCAGAACGGGGAGAGGGATGGCGGTCCCCCCGTGAGGACAGAGTGGATCTGAGGGGAGATGGGGGTGACCCCCCGTGCAGGCAGGGCAGGGCGGTTTGGGAAGAAAGA